GCTGAAAAAAGCGTCAGTCCGGGTTAGTTTCATTCAAATAATACAAGTTAGATTCCAAAACAAGGGCAAAAGTGTTTGGAAAAGTAGATACGACGGAGACGTATCAGGCAGTGCAACGGCAGTGCAAGAGCGGCGGCAGCAGCAAGCAGCGCAACCACGCAGGGAGCAAAGCAGCGAGCAGCCACAGTGGTTGGTGAGCAACCGCGGCGAGGACGCGTGTGGGCGCGCGCGCACAGCAGTGGTAGCAACAGCTTCAGGAGCAGCAGCAGTACACACGTACGTACGTACGTACGCATACACGCGAGCTCGGACGAGCTCGGGGATGAAGGCTACCGCAATGAATCGAAGGGGCAAGCATGGGGGAATGGAGGAGGAGCTCACATAGAGCTCGTGGGCGCGGTCGACGAAGGCCGGGGTGGACCGGAGCCATGGCAAAAGTCATCGGACGCCGGCGATGTATCGATGAAGATGTGCCCGATGCCGAGCGTACTGGGCGTCCTACCTCGAGCCCTTCGGCGAGGGCGAAGGAGACGGCGATGGCGGAGCTCCTCGACGTCTTCTCAGGCGCTGGGGTGGACGGTGGTCGCGGCGACGACGACGACCATGACGACCACGACCCGAGCGAGCTCTAAATCTGAACAGAGAGGCACGAGGAGGGTGAACTGGACGGCTAGGGTTTGTCCACTCGGTCGGGGAGGTCCTTATGCATCTCCAAGGGGCTCCGGATGGTCGACACGGCGACATCCGTGGCGTGGACGGCCGTGTGCACGGCCACGCCATGACGCCGCCTCCTCCTGTACAGCAGGAAGAAGGAGAAGGCCTTGGTGGGCTTGGGCCGAATGCACTGTAGCTACATAGAGCCCACCCACGCAGTAGCTTATTAGGCCTTTTCCCTTTTATATTTACTGTTTTATATTTTGCTCACTGTTTTGTATTTCGCTTTCGATCCAAATAAAATTTTGTTACATAGGAAACTTGTCTCATAAATACTTTGCAATATCGTGGAACTATCCACGGAGTCTTAGATAATTTCTGAAAGGCTTTATTTTTCAGTTTGAATTTAAATGAACCACTAAGTGTTGTTTGCTCAATTCAAAAATAGATAAGGGCAATTTTGAAGTTTCAAATGATGCTGGTCCCAACATGAATATTGATCAGGGGAATATATACTAATATTCGAACATTTTAGTTTTTTATATTTGAAAACTTTTATTGTTTGACTTTGTTTTAGATTTGAAATTTCAACCGGTTTCGAACCAGCGCGAGTTTAAGAATAGTAATCGTGGTGACATGGCACCATTAGAAGGGGATTACTGTAGCTTAATTATCCGAGCGTCACACATGATGTCTTACCGAGTGGGCCCAGAGATACCTCTCCGTCATACGGAGTGACAAATCCCAGTCTCGATTCGTGCCAACCCAACAGATACTTTCGGAGATACCCGTAGTGCACCTTTATAGTCACCCAGTTACGTTGTGACGTTTGGCACACCCAAAGCATTTCTATGATATCCGGGAGTTGCACAATCTCATGGTCTAAGGAAAAAATACTTGACATTAGAAAAGCTTTAGCAGACGAACTACACGATCTTGTGCTATGCTTAGGATTGGGTCTTGTCCATCACATCATTCTCCTAATGATGTGATCCCGTTATCAATGACATCCAATGTCCATGGTCAGGAAACCGTAGTCATCTATTGATCAACGAGCTAGTCAACTAGAGGCTCACTAGAGACATGTTGTGGTCTATGTATTCACACATGTATTACGATTTCCGGATAACACAATTATAGCATGAACAATAGACAATTATCATGAATAAGGAAATATAATAATAACCATTTTATTATTGCATCTAGGGCATATTTCCAACAGCCCCAGGGTTGCGGCGACGACGAGAAGCCGGCCGGCGAACCGACGCTCTGCTGGCACCAGGGCGCGTACTGGCCGTGGCCGCCGGGCGGGTTCATCATCCCCACGCGAGCCGCCTCTTGTTCGGCCGACCGCCCCGCCCGTTCCGCCACCGCCGCAACCGCGAGCCGCGCCGCGCTGTCCCGGGCCTTCTTGGCGTTGGCCCTGTTCCGCCGGTTGGTGGTGACAGCCTCCCAACACTGAACTTCAGCCCTCCAGTCGGTGTTGGACATGCCCGGGGGCTTGGACGGCGGCGCCCTCGGCTTCCTCTGCTTTGGCTGGGCTACGGCGGTGGTCGCAGCCGTCGCGGCGCGGGGGATCACGTATTTCTTCAACGGCATGGCGGCCGGCTGGGAGGGGAGGAGGAGGAAGATTGGCAGGAGGAGTGGAGAGAATGAGAGGGAAGCTGGGGGAAAGCGGGAAGATTCGGTGAGAAAAGGCCCTCCTCTCGCCGACGGAGCGGCCCCACGCCCCTTTTCACTTGTGCCGGCACCCCCCAGCGTGCCGGGTTCGGCTCGGGTGCGCCAGCTATTATTTCGGCCCAGCCCGGCGAAAAACTGACTCCTGAGGCGCGACTAGGCCGATTTTCGCCCGCCGGCGCTAAAAATTCGTCTGGGGAGGGCCTGGTAGGGGCGCGACTGGAGATGCTCTAACTGACAGCGACTTCAAGGAAAAAACCAATCGTTTTTACTTATGAAAGGCATAGTGGGTAATTTATTGTAATTTCAGGGGCAATTTTCGTGATGTACGGACATAAGTATTAGCCCTTTATTATTAGATATAGACATAGATTATTATTACTATAATATACTTTTAGGTATAGATATGTGCACTTATTTGAGAACGGAGGTAGTGCAGTTGAATGGCGGGTGTCCAACCACGTGTCCATGAACCGGGTGCACTTATTTGAGAACGGAGATTGTATTTATTTGTACGCATGAGAAACATTTTGTTTATACACATTTATCATTTTTAAAATGTTTTAGAAGTGTTTTTTGTAATATATTTATTTGGAAGAACTAGTAAAAAGAAAGCGGAAAACAAAAAAAAAAGAAAAACTGAGAAAAAAGGTTGTGGCCTTTCGCATCCGCAGACCGATTTGGTGTCGTGTTGGATGACAAAGTGCTTTTGAACAGGTTGGTCTGGAAGTTTGCAGATGATTTGGAGGTAATAACACCCCAGGTATCCTAACTTGCACCCAATGTGATGATTCAGTCTCAAAGTTGTAAAATTTGATTCCACCATACCCCAACCTGCACCTCATGTGTTGATTTAGTCCTAGGCCAATCACAACTCGACAATTGGCTACCAAGTGGCTGGACCGGTCAGCATGCACAGTTTTGCACAAAACCCCCTGCCGTTTTTCTGAATCAACACACACTTGTACCCATAAACTAGGCCCGTACTCCCGATTCACATTCTTCTCTCTATCGTCACTCAGTCCATGTTCGTGTGCGTGTGCGTGTGCACGGCACGGCAGGCAAGCGGCGATCGTATATACATAAACGACGACGGACGACGAGAGTACAGTACAGAGTAGCACTACGTAGAGGGAAGCTGACTCGGGGAGGTCCGAAAGGGCGCTTTTTTGCTTGGCATCTGCTGGGTGCTGAGTGCTGACCTGGTTGGGCAATCTGAACTCCTCATGGGTGATGGCCACAACACAATTACTCCCATCCAACGACCAAGCGTACGTACGTACTGGCCACTGGGCATGATGAATTGATGATCGTTGATGGGAAGGCCGAGTCGGAGACATAGATGGATGCATGTGCCGTGCGGGGAAGAAGAGTGGTACGGTACCGTGTACTCATACGTCCTACTACCTGGGACGAGCGAAGACGGACGTACGCGTTTTCTTCCTGGGAGTTGCCTTGTATGGCCGGCCGCCGGAGCGAAGATGAGACGCCGGTGAATGTTAGATCACGCGCCACGTGTACGTGAATGAATCCGTAAACTCACCATGATCAATTATACTCTACCTCAGAATATCTCGCTACTTAGAGCATCTCCAACAGGCACCCAAAACACGCCTCAAACGCCTGAACGGGCCCTGGAGCTCAGCTTACGCCCGGGCACGGCACATGCATCCATCTATGTCTCCGACTCGGCCTTCCCATCAACGATCATCAATTCATCATGCCCAGTGGCCAGTACGTACTCCCTCCGTCCTTTAAAGAGTGTACTTCCAACTTTATTGGAGGGTCAAACTATCTCATAGTTTGATCGAGTTTCTGCAAAAATATAGCAATATTTGTGAAATCAAATGGGTATGTGGTAAAAATATACTTTATCATGAATCTAATTCTACTACTTTGATGTCATAAATGTTAACATATTATTGTGTAAATACAATCAAACATAAAAACATTTGACTTTCCAACAAAGTTGAAAGTACACTCTTCAAAGAACGGAGGGACTACGTACGCTTGGTCGTTGGATGGGAGTAATTGTGTTGTGGCCATCACGCATGAGGAGTTCAGATTGCCCAACCAGGTCAGCACTCAGCACCCAGCAGATGCCAAGCAAAAAAGCGCCCTTTCGGACCTCCCCGAGTCAGCTTCGCTCTATGTAGTGCTACTTTGTACTGTACTCTCGTCGTCCGTCGTCGTTTATGTATATACGATCGCCGCTTGCCTGCCGTGCCGTGCACACGCACACGCACACGAACATGGACTGAGTGACGATAGAGAGAAGAATGCGAATCGGGAGTACGGGCCTAGTTTATGGGTACAAGTGCGTGTTGATTTAGGTAAACGGCAGGGGGTTTTGTGCAAAACTGTGCATACTGACCGGTCCAGCCACTTGGTAGCCAATTGGCAAGCTGTGATTGGCCTGAGACTAAATCATCACATGAGGTGCAAGTTGGAGTATGGTGGAGTCAAGTTTTGCAACTTTGGGACTGAATCACCACATTGGGTGCAAGTTAGGGTACCTAGGATGCTATTACCTCGATGATTTGAGAGTCTACGTTGAAGATGTCCATAGAAGAATAGAAGTCTAGCAGAGTTCAGAATACTCAGGGAAGACACGTCACACGGGCATAAAAATGGCATAGATTGACACACAAAATCGTCCTGCAAACGCAATGGATGGCGATTGGCCGCAGCTGGAGCGCACGCCAGGTAAAATCCCACCCAACTTTTGTGGAAAAGGAAAATCGGAGCCCAACGGCAACGGGTCGGTCGCGCCCACGCGACCCACACCCACACCCACCCAAGCCCTAGCCCTGGCCCTAACGGCGTACTGCGCGTCTCGAAGTTTCTGCCTCGCCCATTTTCTAACCTATCCCCTCGCTGGGTGCCACCACTCTCGCACCTAACGGCAGAAAACAGAGCACAAAACTTCCCCCACCAGACGCCGCGAACTTCCCCCCCAAATCCCCAACCCAAGCTCGAATCGGCTCCGACGCGCATCGAATCGAGGTAAGGCACAGCACGATTCGTTTACCAATCTCCATTTCCTGCTTGTTTGGTTTCGTGGGGAATCGCTATTTGCGCCCAAATTTTAGGGGAAAGCTTCAGCGAATCTGAGGTCAATCAGGCCGGCTGTAGGTTCTAAACGTGCAGCATCTCCCTCTAGCTTCGTGGATCTCGCGATTCCCGTCTTGTTACTTAGCCATTCATGATCTCTCACAGGGTTCCCTGATTTTGATATCCTAGCTTGTTTCTTTAGGGTGCGGGCGCCATAGTATGACTCATGAGGGCTTCTGTAGTAGTAATATGTTCTTCGTGTGTCGGGGTTACTGCTGTTGGTGAGGTCCAGTGAGCCGAGAAAAGTGCCGCTAGGGTTTGTAGCTGTGACACAAGCTTATCTGTGAAGTCAATCACGAAAAGAGATTCTAAAACGATTCTACGAATCCTGGGCTGTTTGCACGCTGCCAAGTGACTAGTACTGACAGACTCCATATGCATCGCTTGGTTATCAAACCAGCACGTTTCCTAATTATTATGTATTGTTTCGATGCCTATGTTCTTACTGTTTGTGATGTGGTGTGCTAATTGAAGGTTATGTGTTGATTGTGGTGCAGTGAGATGAGCCGCCCGGACGACGGACATAGGTCTTTCTTCCCTGTGGGAAACCCCTTCCGGGTCATCCTCCCAGGGGGACCTCACCTGCCTCGGAAGCTCCAGGCGCTGCTCAAGTCATACGAGGATGCCCTGGCCTTGAGCTTGAGGAAGCTAAAGCCGGAGAATCCCTTGGAGGTCCTCACCTTGTCCTGGATGAGGCTTGCCGTGGATTGCTTGTCAGAGCTGCATGCCAACATAGGCACCCTGATAACCGAGCTCGAGCTGCCTGTCTCGGATTGGGATGAGAAGTGGGTGGACATTTACTTGAACAGCAGCGTTAAGCTGCTGGACATCTGCATCGTGCTGAGCTCGGAGCTCGCTCGGTTGGATCAAGGGCAGTTGCTTGTCAAGTATGTCCTGGATGTGTTGGACACCAAAAGCGGTGTGCTGTCATTGGAGCAGCTCAAGCGAGCTGAGGTATCACTTAAGGAGTGGATGGACAAGGTGGACACAGCGCGCCCAAGACTCGACAGCTGCTCAACGGCCTTGCAGGAACTTGCTGGGAGCCTTTGTCTGATGAAGGTCAAGAATTCTGCTAAGGGGAAGGACCTCATGAGAGCTTTGTATGGAATAGAGTCCGTGACAGTCTTTACCTGCAGCGTCTTTGTGGCTGCACTGTCAGGCAGTCCCAATCCATTGGTGGAGTTGCATGTCCCTCAGAAATTTGGTTGGGCACAGGCCTTCAATGAGCTTCATGCTACCATCAGTGGGGAAGTCAAAAGGCAATTATCCAGGGGAAGTGTTTCAGCTGTAAAAGAGCTGGAAGAAGTCGAAGCATGTGCCAGGAAACTGCATGCGTTGACTAGGACTGCTCAGCTTGAAGAAGAAAATGACAACCTGGCTTGTGCTGTGAGCCTTTCAAAGCAAATGGTGATGCCGGACATCACTGAACAGAAAGAAAAACCCGAGTGTAATCTTAAGTCGGCTGATGACAGTAGCCAGGAATGTGAAGTGATCATGACAGAGATTGGTACTGAAGAAGGAACACAAGAAGCTGAAATTATGCAGGATACCCACTGTGAGAGTAAGCTGAGCACGCTTGAGAGTATCAGTGAAGATGACAAGATGATAAGTGGGGCAAATGGCTTCATCGACGAGAATATGACCATCGTTCCTGAGAGAACCAGCATCTCGGAAGGTAGAGAAGAGCTGCTGGACTGTATCTCCAGCATGTCAAAAAGCGCCGAGGGGCTTCGGCTCGGGTTGGATTCGTTGTCCAAACGAGTCGGGGACTTCTTCCAGATCGTGCTTACAGGACGTGACGCGTTGCTCTGCAACCTAAGGATGTCAGATGCAGCAAGCAAGGTCACCGAGGTTAGGTCTTGATTCACTACGTTTCAGCTGTGTATGTTCTCTGTTGGTGTAACATGTGTATAGACGGCTGAGCAACGCATGCTTGTACACCGCTCTTCTGACCTGTGGCGGTCCCTGCTCAGCCTCACCGGAACTAAGCTAGGGCACCACATTTCAGCGGCGATGTGCATAATCTTGGGCTGCCGGTTGTGTTGTGTGGGGTTGTATGTGTCGTAGGTTTGATAGTCCTTGTGTTCTTCGTTTTTTTGACGAGTAGAAGTAGTAGACAAATACCGAGTCATATTAGCGTGCAGTATCAGTGGAATGTACAATGCCGAGAGGACAGTAACTGTTTCATATGTATGCCGAAGTGTGTTGCCAGCAATGTTAGAGATGACAGATGTACCTTAAAGGGCAAAGCAGAAGTCTTTGAGGTATCTTGCGTTTTTTTTTTTTGAATGTTGGTAGTTGCTCTACCAAATTCATTGATCAGAAGGGAACACAGTACAGCAGGTGCCGAAGGGCAAAAGCATCAAAAAAAGAGGATGCCAGAAAAGGAAGAAAATACAGTTATATCATGCCCTCAGCCTGGGTCGAAAGGAATCCCAGCGCCTGCCATGTTCCACAAGATGATTTCATCCTTTAGCCGTTGCACGAACGTGCGCCTGTCCATCCATTTGTCCTGAAAAATGCGTCTGTTGCGCTCGCCCAACAGTTCCCAGGAGGCAAGATGCAACAGCGACAGGGCGCCCTTCCTCTTGGTGGGTGTAGCCTGCGTCCAACACACTGTCATCCAATCCTTGATGTTGTTAGTGTCCGTCCAGCTAGAAGGTTTTAGCGAAGGCAGATTTGCCAATCCAGCGAGGCGATCCCAGCACTCCCGCGACCACGGGCACTCAACAAGCAGGTGAAAGGCCGTCTCGAGATTGCGTTCACAAAGCGGACAAAAGTAGCTGTTTTCCCAGCCCCGTCGAAGGAGTAGGTCGGCCGTCAGGATGCGCCCAAGTACAGCAGTCCATAGGAAGAAGCGGCACTTGCCAGGAGCCCACACAGCCCACAGTAGTCTGGCCGCTTCCGGCTGCACCGATCCCGTGAACTGCAAAAGATAGGCTGATCTAGCAAGAGTATTCTTGGCTTTGGTTGAATCGCCAAACGATCTTATCAGGCGTGCCATCGACCAGCAGTACAGAGTCCAGAAGGGAAGCAGGCCGCGTAAGCTCATCCCCCATCCCATCCGTGAGGCCGTGCGCGAGGTCGAGGAGCCATCTGTCGTTATGCATCGCCTCCCTAACCGAACGAAACTTCCGAAGGGATATTCTGAACAGATTTGGCGCAATTGTCTTAGGACAGGCGCCCTGTAGCCAGCGATCATGCCAAAAACTTGCCAGCCTGCCGTCATTTACAGTGATTTCAGTGGCCATGGAGAACAAAGCCCGATCGGAGCTGTCACATGGTAGCGGGGAGCCGACCCAAGGCCTTTGCGGATCCTGCCAAGACATCCAGAGCCAGCCAAATTTTTCGAGGTCAAAAACCCCTAGCCCTCCCAATTGTTTCGGCCGCGCCAATAGCTTCCAACTCACTCTGCATTTCCCTCCACTGCATGATGCCTCGCCACTCCAAATCCTTGCGTTTCATATGATTAAAATTGTGTATTGTTAGGCCAACTCTATTGCGCGACCCCATCTTGTCCGGATGCGTCCGTTTAGGGTAAAACGGACGAATAGCGCGGCCCAACGCGCGGCCTCAAATGGACAAATGTTCGGATTTCGTCCGTTTTTGACTCATCTCCGGCCCAAATTTGCGCTCGGTTTGGGGTGAAACGGGTTTGGGGTGAAACGGACGCGCGCAGACGGCCTGGACGCACGCTCTTGTCCCTCCGTGGCCCGCCTGTCGGGGACACTAGCAGTCCCTCCGCTCCCAACGCTTTCACCCTCTCTCTCCCGCCCCGCCCCGTCGCCGGCGCCGCTGCTATTCTCCGGCCGCCTCCTCACCGCGCAGCCTCCGGCCGTCCCTACCAAATCACGTCTAGACATGGTCGCCACCACGCCCGCGCTTTTGCCATAGTTTTGGCTGTCAATCGGAGGAGGTTTGGCCGTCGCCGTCTTTGCCGGTGGCAGAGGGGACACGACCGCCGGTGACGTACCACGGCGGCCTCAGCAGCTTCCGACGAGAGCTCCAGAGCGGCCAGTAGCCGACCGGCCACCAACCCTACTGCGTCGAGGTGATCATCGCGGCCTCTTCGCCACCACGACCGCAAAGTGTTCGATATTTTGCCCACAAAGGTATGGACAGTGGAGACGAGTTTTTCTTCCATCACTTCCTTTGTTCGTCAGACGATTCGTCGTCGGATGATGAAGATCTTGTGGTGGCTGCACTGGTCGTTCACGACCACATTCAACGGCAGCTTCCTCGGTACAGGGGGTCAGTCCCTGGCCGTGCTCCCAACCTAAACCGCAATAGGGACAGAGGCCACGCCCTGCTCTATGCCGATTACTTTGCGAACACCCCGCTTTTCAAGCAGGATAAATTTCGTCGTCGTTTTCGTATGGCAAGGCATGTGTTCAATCGTATCCGAGAGTGAGTGGTTGCTCATGACCCATACTTCGAGTGCAAGACGGATGCCCTTGGCAAGCTTGGATTCTCCTCTTACCAGAAATGCACCGCGGCCATCCGCATGCTTGCATATGGTATTCCAGACGATCTGGTGGATGAGTATGTGCGTATGAGTGAGACAACATGTCTAATGTCAATGTACAAGTTTTGCCAGGCAGTGATCGAGGTGTTTGGCCTAGAGTACTTGTGGCAGCCAAATGCCGCTGATACAGAGGGATTGTTGGCGACCACGCAGCTAGAGGCTTTCCAGGCATGCTTGGCAGCATAGCTTGTATGCATTGGGAGTGAAAGAACTATCCATTTGCTTGGCAGGGCCAGTACAAGGGGCATGTCAACGGGTGCACTGTCATATTAGAAGCGGTGGCATCACAAGATCTTTGGATATGACATTCTTTCTTCGGCATGGCAGGTTCTCACAATGATATCAACGTGCTGCAGCGTTCTCCAGTCTTTGCGAGGCTTGCAGAAGGCCACTCCCCACTTGTCAACTTTGAGATCAACGGCCACCAGTACAACAAAGGATACTATCTAACTGATGGTATATATCCTCAGTGGTCAACTTTGGTGAAGACAATCTCGAAACCCCAAGGTGAGAAGAGAAAGAGATTTGCCCAAATGCAAGAGAGTGCTAGAAAGGATGTGGAACGTGCTTTTGGTGTCCTTCAATCCTGGTGGGGTATCTTTCAAAACCCTGCACTGTCATGGGATGAAAGAAAGCTTTGGGAGGTGATGACTGCTTGTGTGATCATGCACAACATGATCGTCGAGGACGAGCGTGATGAGAGTATCTTCGACCAAGGATTTGATTATTAAGGTGAAAATATTGAGCCCCTGCACCAAGACCCGGTGTAACACCCCGGATATGACTTACCCAATATGTACTCCAACTCTTGCCGTTTTTGGCGTTAAGTTATTTTATTTTCTCGGGTTCGGGTCTTTGTCTCCGTGTGTTGTTATCGTTGTCATGCATCTCATATCATGTCATCATGTGCATTGCATTTGCATACATGTTCATCTCATGCATCCGAGCATTTTCCCCGTTGTCCGTTTTGCATTCCGGCGCTTCGTTCTCCTCCGGTGGTCAATTCTACCTTTCTTTCGTGTGTGGGGATTAAACATTTCCGGATTAGACCAAGACTTGCCAAGCGGCCTTGGTTTACTACCGATAGACCGCCTGTCAAGTTTCGTATCATTTGGACTTCGTTTGATACTCCAACGGTTAACCGAGGGACCGTAAAGGCCTCATGTGTGTTGCAGCCCAACACCCCTCCATTTTGGCCCAAAACCCACCTAAACCCTCTCCATCATCTAGAGCGTTCGATCACGATCGCGTGGCCGAAAACCGCACCTCATTTGGACTCTCCTAGCTCCTCCTATGCCTATAAATAAAACCCCCTCCTTAAATCCCGGGTCTCTTCTCCCCCTAACCCTAGAAATCCTCCTCGCGCCGCGCCGGACATGTCCGCCCACGTCGGACGCCTCTCCGCCGCCGCCCATAGCCACTCGTAGGCTGCCACGTGTCGCTCCGCCGGCGCCTCCCACCACGGCCCGCCGAAGCCCGCGAGGGGCCCTCCTCGGCCCGAGCCGATCGCCGCCTGCGCCCGCTTCCCTTTCCCCGAGCCGGCGCCCGCCCTCACCGGATTTGCCTCGCGCCACCGCGTCCGCCATCGCCGACCGCCGCGCCTCCTCACGCCGGCAATCGCCGCCGCCTTCTCCGGCTCGCCGTGCGCCGCCCCGCGGGCCCTCCCCGACGCCGTCTCCGGCCACCACCGCGAGCCCTTGCCGGCCCCGGCGACCCCGGCGAGCTCCTCCTCCAAGCTCCGGCGGCGACGACTCCGGCAAGCCCCGTCTCCTCCGGCGACTTTCTTCTTCCACGATGAACCTCGGGATCCGCGCCGGCTGGATCTGGATCTAGATCTCGGTTGACCTAATCTCGCCCGAAACCCTAACTTTTTATGTTTTTCATCATGCTATAACTCCGCATCTGTAGCTCCGTTTTGGGCATATAGCATATCAAAATGTTCGACTCAGAGAGTACATCATTTCGTTTCATTGCATCATTTTCATTTGAGTTCATCTTGATGCCCGAAATGCTGTTAGAAGAATGCTACTTGAGATAATTGTCAGATCTGCTGCTACATTTAGATATTTGTCATTTTTGCCATGATTATTGTGTGCATGATCTGACCATGAGCTCTACATATGTTTTGTTAAGGGTTTTGCCATCTTTCCAGAGGTGCAACCCATGTATTTTTGTGATGTGTGGAGTGACTAGCACAAGCTTGCAAAGTGAGGCATTTGGTTATGCTGATTTCAGGGACTTAGCATTTCCACCAAGTCCTTGACCTGTTTATCTCATATTGCCATATGTTCATGTTGTTTCCTAGTGATCTGTGCCTCTTTTGAGGATGATCAGTAAG